CGGGTGATGGCGCCACACTCGTCACCTTCCCCGTCACCTTCCCCGTATGCAGGCTCAAGTCGGTAGATGGGCCCCAGGTGAGCAGTCGCATCATGCTCGTCAGCAAGATGCCGGTCGCTCGAAGCGGGCTCGGGGCGGCGGACAGTGCGTAGCCCTGGGTGTGTGAGTGTGTGCTCTGACGAGCGGGAGCCCGCCGTCCCCCGTGAGTTGCGGAGATACCCCGTGAGTTGCGGAGATACCCCGTGAGTTGCGGAGATATTCTACAGAAGCAGAATGGATCTCCTTCTGCAGCGTCAGTGGACGCTGCAACTTTAAGGAGGGCGGAGCCCAGAATGGACGCGCCGAAATGCGGTCACATGAGACGCGCGCTGGACGCGTCGCGAGGCTGGCGCTGAGCCGTACGGGTCGCGAGCTGCCACGCGCGGGTGAGTTCCAAGCGGACAGCCGGGGCCAGAAGTCCGGAGACCGGAGAGAGCCCCCAGCGCGAAGCGCTGTGCGTCAAACTCAGAGACAGGGAGCGGGCTAAATAAATATTCATGTAAGTGCAAAGCAGCGCGGCCGAGAGGAAGTCGACGTCGCGAAGAGAGAAAGCTCTGTGTTTGCGCCTGTTTGCGCGCGCGTGCGCCCAGCCTCAGACCCACGCGTTTGATGGCTGGGCTTCTCAGTGGCACTTTCCGCCTAAGCGCTAAGCCCTTATCTCACTTCATCTTGCAAGCGGCACTCGTATCTCGTCCCGCGCTGCTCTACACCTTCGCTAAGCGCAGGCCGCCTTACATGCCTGCAGAGTGAATCGGACTGAGGGATGATGTACCGGATCCGGCTAGAAGCAGTACCGTTTTGGCCAGAGTTGCGCCCTTGCCAGCGTCAACCGTACAGTTATCATGAGAGTTACAAGGCGATGGCGAGAGTCGTGATGGATACCATACACGTGCGGGCACACACGGATGGGCGCGGCTTGACTTGACCACATCTTCGACTGCTCTCACCACTACGTTGTATGTCGCTCAGCCACTACCTCCGCCACCTCCACGAATCTTGGACGTGCTCATCTGAGCTCGCCTTCTCCTTTGCACAGACACGAAAACTCTCCCCAGTTCCAAAACGTTGGAATGGATACCGTACACTCGGCCTGAAACCGCGTCCTAATTCTGAGCCCATCACTCAACTTCCGAAGGTACGCATTAGCAAGCGTCACCGGTTATCAAACCCACTAACAATTGATGCACCCGGTTATAAAACCGCCCCTCTCCCACGCGCTTCCGGCAATCACCTCCACCGCCGCGATGCTTCGTTGCGTGCTCCAGCCTGTCACATATCCATATCTAGGACTATGACCTCCCAGACATGTACTCGCACCACAAACGAAGCTTGAAACTCGACACAAACCTTACGGAGTGTAGGCCACTGGCCATCCACTCTAAGCACTCACGACATGTGGCATGGGACAGCCTTTCAGTTGACAGGTAGTCGCCGATGCGCTCATAACAGCTCGACTGTCATGTTCCCTGGCGCGTACTCCGCGACCGACCCCGGCATCTTGGTTCCTGACGTACGTTCTCACTTCTGGCACTAAATCGTGCGAACGTATCTGACATGCGAGAATAGATCTTCAACCCGGGCTTCAAGTACACCTTCCCTGGCGGCGCTGTCGCAAACCTCGGCGGCTCCGGCTCCTCCTCATCTGGCTCGTCTTCCGATGACGATGACAGCTCGTCGACTTCCAAGGCGGCTGCCACTGCGACTGCCAAGGCGTCTGGCGCGACTTCGACCAAGAAGGCTGCCTCAACTTCCAAGGCTGCCGCTTCCTGCCGCTTCTACCGCCGACGCTGCATCCACCGCTGCTGTCGCCGAACCTACCACGACCAAGGCCACATCGATCTCGAGCACGAAGGTCGGCGCTGCTTTGTCCTCCGCTGCCGCATCGACCAGCACTGGTCGCTGCAAGGCCGGCAAC